CAATAAGCCCCAAGAAGCCGTGGTTTACAGTGAATTTATAACAGCTAAGGGAGGTTTTAGCCTAACAACGCCCCTTAGCTGTTATAAATTCACTGTAAACCACGGCTTCACGGGGTTTATTGCTTTTATAAAACGGTTATTCCATATAGGTAGTACGGATTTACAAAATAAAACGGAGCAAATAAAGTGTAATGATATTAATAAAAACAGTATACTTCCACCAAACAATGTAGCTCCTCAGAAACAGTTGTGGTTGCAACAAAGTGGTTGCCGAGCAACAGACAAACGTAAACAAAGGTGTATGTTACTTTGTAGAGTAATTTACAACAGCTTCGAACGCGGCTCAACCAATCAGAATCAAGGACCGGAACTATCTGTTTCATAAAAAAGGCTAAACAATTCTGTCATACAACTCTGTGAGTCCATCTTACAAAATGAATCAAGTCACCTTTATTCGTATAGCGCTTTATACGATACAGATTGTGTCAAAGCAGCTTTACAGTGTTAAACAGGATAATAGTGTGTCGATAATGCAGGAGGACAATAGTAAACACTCAGCTAAAGTCAGTTCATCGTTGATTCAGTGATGTCTCAGATCAAACAAAAACATCCTGAAAGAAAACATGTCGAAAAGGTTATTGTCTTGATACTTGTGCCCAATCTCTTATTGTTGCTTAATTAGATATATTTAAATCTGTTGCCATATCAGCTTCATTAGTTATTATATGGCAGATACAGATTCGACATTAAACAAACAATACAATAAACACTTTTTAATACAAAAAAGAACAATAAATACAAAACATTTATAAAATTCTACTTGGAAAAAAAAGACTCAAATTTTGTTGAAAAAGTGTTTCTTGGTCCATCTTACAAAATAATTCCTTAAAGTTTATTCTAATAAAAATAGTTGTCTCATGACGTTGAAAATTTGGCATGCGTATATATAGAATTCTATAAAAGATTCTTTAAATGCACTTGTGATAAAAATTGTAAAAGTCTTCTTAAGTTTGTCTTACAAGTCCTTCAAAACTTGTTGTCTCATGCCGTTAAGAATTGGAGACCAAACACATGTTTTACAGACAAGGTAGTGCTACAATGGACATTTTGGTGGTTCTTCACCAGTCACTCTTAAAAATAAAGGTTCTACAAAGAGGTTTTTGCAGTGATGTCATAGAAGAACCATTCTGGGTTCCCCAAAGAACCTTTCAGTGTACAGCTCTGAAAAGAACCATTTTTTCTTAGTGTGAAGAACATTTGTGACCCTGGAGCACAAAACCAGTCTTAAGTGTCAATTTTTATAAATTGAGACTTATGCATCATCTGAAAACTGAATAAATCATCTTTCCATTGATGTATGGTTTGTTAGGATAGGACAATATTTGGCTGAGATACAACTATTTGAAAATCTGGAATCTGAGGGTGCAAAAAAATCTAAATATTGAGAAAATCATCTTTAAAGTTGTTCAAATGAAGTTCTTAGCAATGCATATTACTAATCAAACATTAAGTTCTGATATATTTACGGTAGGAAATGTACAAAATATCTTCATGGAACATGATCTTTACTTAATATCCTAATGATTTTGGGCATAAAAGAAAAATCTATAATTTTGACCCATACAATGTATTGTTGGCTATTGCTACAAATATACCCCAGCAACTTAACACTGCTTTTGTGCTCCAGGCTCACATTTTAATAATCCAAAGTACCATTTTCCACTATAAAGAACCTTTTGTGAAATGGAAAGGTTCCATGAATGTTAAAGTTTTGTCATGGAACCATTGATGCCAATAAAGAGTGTTAAAAAAAAACAACTCATGATTTCTTCTAGTATGAACTCTACAATACCTTGAATACACAATTTGATCATGTCTGGAATTACAAGGGTAGATGCATATTTTTCCCACCACAGGATTCCTTTCAAATAATTTGTTATTTTGAGATGCTTCCCATTCAGCTTGCCATATTGATTTGATTAAAGGCTTGAGGTCTGAAGGTGGGATTTTCTCTTACCGTTGAGTTTGTATTTCAAACGCTTTCCATCGCAGCCCATCTTGCCTTCTGTCACCTGTCCCACAGGTAGATAATAGAGCGCCACCTGCAGGACAGTGAATAACAGCACCACGCACACAGACGTCCAGTCCCAGATCAGGGTTCCAGCAGAACCCAGCAGAACCCACGACTCAGAGGAGGACCGGCAGCCATCCAGTATCATTATGAGAGAGATGCCCAACAAAACGCACACCAGAGACAGGTCTGACACACACACACACACACACACACAATCAACAGCCTGAATCACATCATACTGAGGCTTATTTTAAAATTCTTGACATTGCACTAAAACTATTAAGGCAAGACAGTACAGGCAAATATGGAAAAATATTAACTAATAAGATATCAGCATACTTCCTCAGTTGATTAATCAGAATGAATAAAGATGTTTTCTGAAATGTTTAAATATGCAAATGAGACACGGTCTAATTAAATATGCACTAATCTACATACATTTCCAGAACAGAAATGGGTAAAGTCAGGTTCAAAATTCTTGTTTGGTTTAGTTGATATATTAGAGATAAAGGTTTTTACTGTGGGGATTTTGGATTTCTCTTTTCATCACTGCATAAATCAGAAAATACTGTCAACAGCCAGGAATTTTTTTTACACGTTTTTAGGAATAAAATGTTGTATAAATCAATGTGAACAATATATGAACAAACCCTTCAGTAAAATCCTTCAGTATATAGACAGGAATAAAACCCTAAGTTTTGGTGTATGTAAGTACTGCAGAAGTGGAGAAAAAACTCACCGCCTTTAAAAATATGCATTTTCGCTGAAAGAAGATTCTACTTTCACAAAAAAAAAAGTTAAAAGAAAGTATAAAACTAACAATAAAATATAATACAGAAAAAAAATCACCATGTTTTTAGGAATAAAATGCTATATAAATCAGTGTGAATGATACATGAACAAAAAACCTTCAGAATATAGAGAGGAATAAAACTGCTAAGTTTGGTGTATGCAAGTGCTGCTGAAGTGGAGGAGAAAACTTTTGAAGATATGGATTGTAATTGAAATTTTTACAGACGCAAACAGATAAAGTGCAAAAATAAACTCGGGTGAATGATATATGAACAAACCCCTCAGTAAAAACCTTCAGAATATAGAGAGGAATAAAACTGCTAAGTTTGGTGTATGCAAGTGCTGCTGAAGTGGAGGAGAAAACTTTTGAAGATATGGATTGCAATTGAAATTTTTACAGACGCAAACAGATAAAGTGCAAAAATAAACTCGGGTGAATGATATATGAACAAACCCCTCAGTAAAAACCTTCAGAATATAGAGAGGAATAAAACTGCTAAGTTTGGTGTATGCAAGTGCTGCTGAAGTGGAGGAGAAAACTTTTGAAGATATGGATTGTAATTGAAATTTTTACAGACGCAAACAGATAAAGTGCAAAAATAAACTCGGGTGAATGATATATGAACAAACCCCTCAGTAAAAACCTTCAGAATATAGAGAGGAATAAAACTG